CTTGGGAGGCTAAAGTATGAGAATCGCTTGAGCCCAGGAGGAAGAGGTTGCAGTGAGCCAACATCCCGTCAGTGCACTCCAGCCTGGGCAACAGAGTGGAAAAACAAAACAAAACAAAAGCTGGCCAGGTGCAGTGACTCACACCTATAATCCCAGCACTTTGGAAGACCAATGCAGGCAGATCACTTGAGTGCAGGAGTTTGAGACCAGCCTAGGCAACATGGTGAAACTCCATCTCAATATATATATATATACTTTTTAAATCTGAGAAGGTATTTTATTTATAGAACAAGATGTTTTAAGAACAAAAATAAAATATAAAACAGGAAAAGACCAGGCGTGGTGGCCCACACATGTAATTCCAGCACTTTGGGAAGTCAGTGCAGAAGGATCGCTTTAGCCCAGAAGTTTGAGACCAGCCTGGGCAACATAGTGAAACCCCATATATACAAAAACTAGAAAAGTTAACCAGGCATGGTGGTGAGCACCTGTAGTCCCAAATACCCCAGAGGCTGAGGTGGGAGGACTGCTTGAGCTCAGCAGGTCGAGGCTGCAGTCACCTGTGATTAAGCCACTGCACTACAGCCTGGGCAACACATTGAGACTCTGTCTCAAAAATAAAATAAAATAAAATAGGGAACAGAGAACAACTCTCAAAACAGGGAAGACCACAATACAAAAAAAAAAAAAAAAAAGGAAGAAGAAAAATAAGAGACATAGAGTACTAATGTAAGATGTACAATATCCAACTAATACATAGTAATTTCAGAAAGAAAGAATAAGAACCAGAGCAGTGGCTCACTCCTGTAATCCCAACACTTTGGGAAGCTGAGATGGGAGGCTTGCTTGAGCCCAGGCATTCAAGACCAGACTAGGCAACAGAGCAAGATCCTGGCTCTACAAAAAATAAAAGAAAATTAGCCAGGCATGGTGGTGCATGCCTGTGGTCCCAGCTACTCAGCGGGGCTGAAGTGGGAGAATCACTTGAGTCCAGGAGGTCAAGGCTGCAGTGAGCTATGATCACACCATTGCACTCCTGCTTGGGTGATAGACTTTCTCAAAGAAAGAAAAAAGAAAGAAAAAAGGGCAAATAGAGGGAAGGAAATCATCAATGAAATAATAGAAGAAAATATCAGGGTTCTGAAAAGGACATGAATTTTCAGAACACCAAGAACAAAAAGAAAATCCTAAAAGTTTCTGGCAGAAGCAGGTGGGGGTGGGGGTGAAGTTAACTACAAAGGAATAAGACCAAAACTGACATTTGATTTTTTCAATAGCAAAGTTCAGATGAAAAATTATTTTTAACTTGGAGTTCTATACTCAGCTAAACTAGATTAAGTACAAATAAAGCTATTTTCAGAAATGCAAGGGCTCACAATACTTCTCATGCTTTCTCAAGAATTTACTTAACCATGTATGTCAGCAAAACAAGAAAGTAAACTGATGAAGAGAAAAACAGGAAACAGTATACTTCCCAGTATACCAGGGAAGAAGTGTCTGAGGATGATAATTATGTTGCAGGCCTAAAAAGCATGCCGTCCAAGTTGAAACTGATCTCAATCCCAGGCTCTAAACCCACATACTCAACAACCAGCTGTGCAACTCCACCTAAATGCACCACAGACATCTCAAACTCCTAAACTGACTGCATCTTCCCTTTTTCCCAGAACTGCCT